GTCAACATGGAGTAAACCCTTTGTTGTTATCACAGTATTACTATGCATCATATTGGTAATACTGGTGGCTATGCTTTGCTTAATGCTAACTCAAATGCATGCAAGTAATGCTAATGCTTCAACTGCGGCTACTGCTAACACAAATAACTGTCCTGACTTTGACGAATGGGCTAATGGTGTTGTCTCTAAAGTTAACAGCAGTGTAACACAGAGCCTTCCTGACTTTAATGAATGGGCTAACGGTGTTGTCTCTAAAGTGAACAGCAATGTAACACAGAGCCTTCCTGACTTTAATGAATGGGCTAATGGTGTTGTTTCTAAAGTTAACGGCAATGTAACAGGGAGCCTTCCTGACTTCAATGAATGGGCCAACAGTGTTGTCTCTAAAGTTAACGGCAATGTAACACAGAGCCTTCCTGACTTTAATAAATGGGCTAATGGTGTTGTCTCTAAAGTTAACAGCAATGTAACACAGAGCCTTCCTGACTTCAATGAATGGGCTAATGGTGTGGGACAGAACACCCTTCAACTATTTCAGAACAATACAAACTTCACTGAACTTGATAAGCAAATCTTACAAACTACAAGAAATTTGGCACAAAAGCTAATAGACATTGTCAATGCTCTCTCTAATCTACAAGACACCAGTACCTCTACTGCTGGAGTGGTTGATGATATACTACTAATAGCACAGGAACTATTAGTGCTACACAATGACTCAACTGCTTTACCTACCTCTTGTAAAGAGATTAAGGAGAGACAACCCCGTAGTCCATCAGGTGTGTATCTACTACTGTCAAATACTAGTTCTACTTATACTGCTTACTGTAATATGGAGGAGTTATGTAATTCTATTGGTGGATGGACAAGAGTAGCATATCTGGATATGACTGATGCTACACAGAACTGTCCTCCTGGGTTTGGTCTGTACCAGTCAGGAGGAGTTAGAGCTTGTGGTAAGCAAACACGACAAAGAGGTTGTATATCAGTTCAGTTCCCATCTTATAATATCAGTTATTCTCAGGTGTGTGGTAGAGTAACAGGGTATCTATTTGGTTCTATTGATGCTCTTAGCAGTGCCCTCGATTTCGATGGTGTGAGCATCACTCAAGGACCTTCACGTCAAAAAGTCTGGTCACTAATAGCTGGTCAAAGTGAAATAGGCTCTTCATGTCCATGTAGTACTGGAAGCTCTGGATCTGTGCCAGCTTCTATTGGTAATAACTACTTCTGTGAATCCGGTGTTCCTCATAGCAGTCCATCACAGATTCTCTACACATCTGATCCACTATGGGATGGTCAAGGTTGTGGTTCTGATGAAGCACCTTGTTGTAATGTTCCTGGTATCCCATGGTTTCACAGAGACTATGGTAGCACTACCACTACTGACTATATTGAGTTGAGGGTGTGTGCTGATGCTGGTGATGAAGACAGTCCTGTTAGTTATTATGAGATTTATGTTAAGTAGTAAAGTGCATGTGTGTGTATGTGTGACTCTTAGTATAGAACAGTGTGATAGTTACAAATGTTTTCCTTAAGTTATCTTATACATGTACATGTACATGTAGTACAAACATTTTGGAGTGTTATTTTCTTTACCAGTATTAATTTTGTTGAAACTTAGTTTATTGCATGCAGTCTACACGAAGACACTGCTACACAATTGTGAAAGGGACCTCTATGGCTTCACTTCCTGATACGTCACTGATAAAATGATATTCATCGCCAATAGCTTATGAATATAATTAAAATCATTTAAAATTTGAATCACGTGTAGCTGATAAGCTGATAATTAGGCAATTTCTGAAAAACATAGCAAGTTTGAGGGGAATTTTACCTGAATAAAATAAGACCCAGCAACTAAGGAGTCTCACAATGTATTAAGCAAAGGTAAGTACAGTACCAGACCCTTTGGCAAAAATCCAGCACCCCTGTGAATCATTTGCACAAAAATCAAAGTTGCTTTGTGGTTAAAAAGTGAAGATGGTGGCTGTGCAAGTAGATGTGTATCTTCTAAACAGAAGCACAGATGAAGCTCATTCTTGATAATAGCAAGGAGGAGAGTTGGTTCTATCTGTATATGGTAAAATAAGGAGAATAAGGTAATATTCAACATTGCCTATGATCTTTCTTTAAAGCCATTAGGCACAGGATTTATCATTCTGTGCATCTCCGTAAAACTCCATTTTTATGGCAGTGGCTATTTCTACCACTCACATAACATAACTGGAAACTCCTAAAATGCCTAGGAAACACTCTAAAATTAAAAAAAACTAAACCTAAACCAACCTTGGGGACTCCTAAAATGAGTAGGGACGCTCTAAAAAAACCGCCACCCTAAAACAATAGCCAACTAGGGGACTCCTAACATAAGTATGGGACATAGCTAAGTACTAGTAAGTACTAAGTAGTAAAAAAAATTAAAAAAAAAGATTATTGCTGGATTCAAACCAGTGCACATAGGTAAATCCAGCCACACGCCTTCCCCACTGAGCCACCATGAACCTGCTGCCTCAGTGATGCACATTTGTCATATTTATATTGATTGTATGCTTAAAAACCGGAGTTTTACAGAGGTCTGCAAAATGATAAATCTTGTATCTAATGGCTATAATCTTTCTTTAAGTCCACCATATTGAAAAATGGGTGTGGTCACGCCCTTAAAAGGTGTGGTTTTGCAAAATTTTGTGGCGCGCTTTGTGTGGTGCATAGCTTGCCCGGCCAAAATCCTGCCTATGGAAAAATCCTCCAAAAATCCTGCCTACGCCCCTGTATATGATGTTCTCATTCAGGTGTAGTTGCTGTTCTGCATACTGTATATAGCTGGTATATTCTGTCAGAGTTTAATTTCTTTCTTTTTGTTCTCATTCTTTGTGGAACAAATAATGAAAAATGCATTTCCTCAATGCCACATTTAGAAAATGGCTGCTCAGAATGAAAATAAAACGAACGAAAATTTCTAATCCTGCTTAGAACAAACATTTTTCAGTGAAATATACCCCCTATACGGTACAGTACACATCTGTTGTAAATCAATTTATTGGCTACTTGTTAATTTGAGACTCTCTATTCTAAGCAACCTTTTGGCAGCTCTATACTTTTACTAATGTTGTATGAAAAATAATAATAATAAGTTGAAGTTTGTGATTGCCTTTGAGAAGAGGATATGATATATTGTATTATAAGTAAACTACACTTATGACTTGTGTAACTTGTCAGCTGCTTACATTGTAGCTCCTTCCTTACTGTACAAACTATCAACTGTGTCACAATGTATAAAAAAGAACAATAATTAATGATTATTCATAATGCATTGTCTTTAAAATTACTGGCATTGTATCTTTTTACTTAGTTCACAGTTAGAATATTCTTTGGATGGATACAAGAAAAGGCTTTATTCTGTTGTGAGCTTTAGTTCTAGACCAAATTTCCTTTGTGGCTCTTGCAGTAGTCTAGGTGTGGTTTATGGTTTAAGTTACATGTACCTCATGGATTAGCAAAACAATTAGGGCATTTGTCACAAGAAATCACCTTTAGTAAGTATATATGTCTACCATTAGTTGTGTTGAAATGTATACTAAATGTTAGAAATTACTTTTCTTTTTATTGTATTTTATAGCAATAAAAATTGACCAACTAAAAGTGATAGGCACTTTAATAAAGAATAGATACATGTATGTCAGTGATTTTTATTAGCAGCTCAACCAAATCAGGAAGATGCATATGAAATACTGGATATTAATACTAACATAACATCAACTGATACTCGACAGTCTCAACCAGTAGAGGAAGGAAGCAAAGCAGTCAACATGGAGTAAACCCCTTTTTGATACACAGAACTGTCCTTCTGGGTTTGGTCTGTACCAGTCAGGAGTTAGAGCTTGTGGTAAACAAACATTACACAATGGTTGCATATCAGTTCAGTTCCCATCTAATGATATCAGTTATTCTCAGGTGTGTGGTAGAGTAACAGGATATATATTTGGTTCTATAAATGGTCTTAATAGTGCTCAGGATTTTGATGGTGTTAGTATCACTCAAGGACCTTCCCGTCAAAAAGTCTGGTCATTCATTGCTGGTCAAAGTGAATTAGGCTCTTCATGTCCATGTAATAATGGTAGTTCTGTATCAGTGCCAGCTTCTATTGGTAATAACTACTTCTGTGAATCAGGTGTTCCTAGTATAGCAGATTCTCTACACATCTGATCCACTATGGGATCGTCAAGGTTGTGGCTCTCTTGAGTCCCCTTGTTGTAATGTTCCTGGTATCCCATGGTTTTACAGAGACTATGGTAGCAATACCACTACTGACTATATTGAGTTGAGTGTGTGTGCTGATTATGATGATGAAGACAGTCCTGTTAGTTATTATGAGATTTATGTTAAGTAGTTAAATGTGTGTGTCTTAATAGAATAGTGTGATAATTACTAATGTTTCTTTATCTTAGTATATACAAGTACAATGCTAAGTTTTATTTTTGATTAATTCATTTTGATTTATTTCAGTACATTATGCAGAACAGTGTGATATTTGACACTATAGTATAGTTGTGATAACTCATTCAACCAAATTTGTCTTATAACTATTCTTGTCAGCAAAAATTCACTACTAAGCATTAACACACCATTTGAACCGTCAAATTTCATTTCCTGATTTTCAACAAAAACTGAGGTTCTCCCTATAAGCTCCGGTGGCGTACCCAAGGTAAAGCAATGATATTAAATAAAAATGATTTACAGAAGAACTAATACCAGCACTAATAAACGCAATGCCATTGGTGGATTGAAAACAATATTTAAATTTCATAAATAAGCTAAAGAATACATGTACTATATACAAACAGTGCTAGCCCAACCACTCAATAGCTTAGCAATGAACAATACTAATACAGAATGATACAATAACATGTACGTGTACATGTAACTTAAGTGCATGTAATTATGCATCATTCTACACTACTTATGCATGTACATGTAGTAATTTAAAATGATGAGCTAACCGTATATTTTAGTCCTTGAAGATTATCAGTAGTTTCTTTTAACCAGTCAAAAAATTCCTGAGCATTATCAGTTGGGTCTCCCTCTCCATAAGTGGCCATTACAAAAATAACAAGTGATCCTTCAACTTCCTGTCCTACTCTAGTAAGGTCATCCTAAAATAATAATAAAGTAGTACAATTATTATAATTAAACAACAACATAAAATAAAAGATATATTGATAATAATCAAATAATCATAGCTAAAGGTAGCTCCTAAACAGTGGATTGGTGCACTATTAATTTTCACTGAAATACATTTTAATTCAAAAATTTGCAAAAAGGTCAGTACATGTACATGTGTTTTTGGTCCCATAATTCATCAAAATCTGCTCAAACATTCTACGTAACATTAAGACATCAATAAATTATGTCTTGGACAGTATAATATCAATAGTAATATTTCAGAGTCTATGATTTGAAGCTTAATGCCTAACATTAGTGGAATGAACTTTCTAAGTGAGAAAATGCCGTATAGCACAAAAATTTGGAGGGACAAAAATTTGGCGAATTTGGCGAATAGAGTTTCATTCGCCAAAATAAAAACCGCCATTTTGAGCCTTTACACGCATGCTCAATGGCACGTGGCCACTAATTCGCCAAATTAAAATCTGCCAATAACCAAAATTTAGCAATTCGCCAAATTTTACTCCCTCCAAAATTTCCGGCTATATGGTACTGTATGACTAGAATGCAAACCCCATAACTCCAAATTTTCATTAGTCAAAACTTTCGTCATAATCTTAATTTGTCAAAATTAATTTTCGTTAATAGAATTTTTGTCATTTCTGTTATAAATCCGCATACCACCCACGTGGAGCAAAAATTTTTTCAAAAAAATGCCTCATTATATTGATGAAATTTTGACTAACAAAAATTTGCAGCTATGCGCTACCAAATAAAAACTAAAATACCAAAAATCTGACAAAAACAGGCTCAAACTTTATACATGGCATAAAGTGACAAGGAGATTGACTTCTAAAAGGCAAAGCTTTTAATTAAAAGAAGTTTTCTACATGAACATACATGTAGCATCTACATACAACCCAATGTATGTACAAAACATTGGGGTAATGTCAATCCGAATCAATGATTAAGATCCTTACCCAGTCAGTGCAGTCCTCAGGGTCAAAGGTCATGGCTGGTAGTCCTAAACGAGATGAGTCCTTTGCTAATCTATTAGAGAATTCTTCCCCAGTACCAGTTTGAGACCCATACAGAATCAATACCCTTTTCTTTCGGGTTTTCATTTTATCAATAAAACTACCAGACGTACTCAGTGAGGAGGAATAAACAGGAGAAGAAATCTGTTTTATACCAATAGAGAAAAAGAGAAATTCATGAACAGTCATTAGACTTGATCCATTAATACTATATTTTGACAAAAAGCAGTCATTTACATGTATATAATTAGAATAACTTCATAAAATGTTACATTGAAATTTTAAAATTGTTTTTCATTTTTGTGCTCACCCTAAATTATAAATTTTATAAGCCAGACTAGTCTGGGCATGAGACTAAAGCCAGACTCAAGACACAAAAATAGAGGATATGCATGTTAAGTACATGCATATTCATAACTTTTAAAAACTGTATATCCAACCCACACAGAAAATTGGCTGCCATGTTGGACGTCAAGTTTTCAATGGGGAAAACATTTTCTTGCCTTGCTACCTTCTTGAGGCCTTTTTTGTAAGCTTAGAAAGCATCCTAAGGATTTAATGGGGTCTAGTAGTCACCTGAAAGACTGCTATCAAGAAAATTAAATTTTATACTTGTAAGTTATTACGGTATGCAATATTTCATTTTGCAATGAATATACCTTAGGGTGGGTATTAATTGCAACACTTAATTTTAGCGTTTGTACTTAAAAACGCTAATTCAACCAGACGCTAATAATACTTCTAATGTACTTGTGTAAACAAGTAAGATAGGCAAGATCTGTAACAAGATAACAGAAGATAGGGTGATCTTTTCAAGTGTTCTGTTCTTAAATGGATTCATTGGGCTTCTTGAGTTGTATTATGCTTTTAAATGGGAGTTTCGATCACCATTGGTTTTTTCGTATTTTCGCTAATATTACATTTCGCTAAATCAGGGTCCCCTTGAAAACGCTAAAATTTAAGAGCGCAATTAATACCCACCCTAAGGTACTTATCACGCATATCCTCTAATAGTGTGCATAATTATTATTCATCATCCAAAGCAGGATTTACAACAGTCAAAAAAATGTAAACGGCAAAACATAACCTAAAACCATGTGCGTCTACGTAAAATATATTGCACTTATATGTAACCATGTACACATTATGGCATCGTCTCATGATGAAGAGTCTTATTTTAGTTACCTGAATGTCTTTTTATTAGGAGTCTTTATTCTTGTCCTTTTCCTGATAGTCAGAAAGTTTAGGAGGAGAGCAAGAGGAGATGACGAGAGTAAAAAGCTGCAAATTAATCCAGTGTGATGTTGAATGGGCGTGGCTCTTAAATTAATAGAGGAGTGGCTGACCACGTGTAGCTCCAACCAGCTAAGAGAGATAGATCTCTATTGCTAAAGACTACAACTTACTACGTCTTATAAAACTACATTGAGGACTCTACGCTGACATTAGAGCTATGAACCTTATGTTTTAATGGTAAGGATTGATATGTGTAAAGTCTGTTACTGAACAGTGTATTTTTTAATTTAAAAGGGAATGTTTATGTATTTTTGGCTCAATAATGAAACAAATGGGGTGCCACCACATACATACATGTATATCGTCTAGTGCAAAATTTTTAAGATTGAAAATTTCACAGATTTTGTGATTCTTTGAAGATTCACAAAAATTAATTGCATGAAAGTCAATTTTTTACAGAACAAGATGGCAGAAGACATAAATTTGCAAAAATTAAATCTGCAAAATAGATTTTAAGTAATTTTGCAAAATTTGTTGTAATTATTAAAATGGAGAATTCTATCCTTTTCATTTTTGACAGGAGCTTTGGCCCAATTTTTGAGCAAATTCAAATGTAAAAAAACAAAGTTGATTAGAATCAGTTAGTACATGTATCAGAAAAAAATATAAAAATGGAAAATTCTCTCCTTTTCAGTTTTGAATTATTTGGCCAAAATTAATCCCTTGGTGTATTAGAGGGACTTTGACCTGATTTTTGAGCAACTAAAAAAATTAATAAAAATCCAATTTTGATTGAAATTAACTAAAGTTGATACACAACATAAGGATATGTATATATGTATCATAAAAAAGCAAAATTTTTTCTTAGTGATTTTTGTTGAAATACCCTATACAGCCCTAGTCTTTGGCTAATTTTTGAGAAATTTAACAATCCACTATGCCAAATCCTGTGGGAAACCCTGTAGCTCTTTTAGAGCTAAGCCAGATTTACAATATTACGCTAGGCCAACGTACCATCAATTTTTAATCAAAAGCGTGGGCAATTTGACCTTTTGGCGCATGCTTCACACTGGAGTTGAACCAGATTCAACTCCAGCGTCAACGTAACGCCAGGACTAGAGTGAGATTATAAATCCGCCTTTAAAAACCACCATACATTCACTTGTTGCATGAAAGCTTGATAAACATACATGAACATAATATACTGTATGTGTATGGCATTTAGAGATAATTTAGAGATTTCTAGATTGAATGTACATGTATCTCTATATTAATGTTATAAAAGCATGCAGCCACTCTATGAAATATAAATGTACCAAACTACCAACATTTAGTAGGCTTGTGTTTTTCTCCTTGGTCATTCTACTGATTGGTATTGTCATTGTACTGACTTCATGATATTTCAATCTATCAATTGAAATAAATTAAATTTGTGCACAGCATAATATACTAAGAAGCATTAATATGACATCTCTATATGATGTTAATTCTCATTCAGGTGTAGTTGCTGTTCTGCATATACACCTGTTGTAAATCAATTTATTGGCTACTTGTTAATTCGAGACTCTCTATTCTAAGCAACCTTTTGGCAGCTCTTTAGTAATGTTATATGAAAAATAATGAGAATAAGTAGAAGTTTGTGATGGCCTTTGAGGGAGGATATGGTATATTGTATTATAAGTAAACTACACTTATAACATGCGTAACTTGGGTCAGCTGCTTACATTGTAACTCTTTTCTTACTGTATAAACTATCCACTGTGTCACAATGTATTTTAGAAAGAACAATAATCAATGATTATTCATATGATTATTCATAATGCATTGTCTTTAAAATCACTTGCATTGTATCTTTACTTAGTTTGCAGTTGGAATATTCTTTGGATGGATACAAGAAAAGGTTTTATTCTGTTGTGAGCTTGAGCTCTGGACCAAACTTCCTTTGTGGCTCTTGCAGTAGGTGTGGTTTTTGGCTTAAGTTACCTCATGGATTAGCAAAACAATTAGGGCATTTGTCACAAGAACTCACCTTTAGTAAGTACATGTTTCTACCATTAGTTGTGTTAAAAATGTATATTAAATGTTAGAAATTACTTTCTTTTTTGTATTTATAGCAATGAAAATTGACCAACTAAAAGTGATGGGCACTTTAATAATGACAAGAAGAAGGCAAAGATTAAGAAGTATGTTCATTATTATTTAATGTATATACTTGTGTAAAAAGCAGTTGTATCAATGTTTTTTGCGTATTGTATCTTAATTCTTGACTCTCACTCTATTTTGGCTTGTAGTATATGCACTTAAAAATTTAGCTAATCCTTCACCATAAATTTACATGTAAAATGACAGCCTAACTATAATAGTACCCACCTATACATGTGTGGCAAGGCCAATTATGTAAACTTAATGCTTTAATGTATTATCCAGTAAATAAAGAAACAAGTATATGTAGATGCATGAGGTAATTAAAGTGGCTCATGCATTATTGGGCAAAGATTGTAATTTAACTGTTGAAGTAGTTTGTTATCTGTGGCCATACATGTACATCATCAGGGTCTGGCAAAAAGTGTAGCCCTCAGTGTCTTGCATTTTTCTAGTGCTGTACTTTTCAAGTGATGCATAGTTATTATGATGTGAGGGTAGACAATTTTTTTGTAACACATTCGTCAATAATTATATCATGGAATATATATATAGTATTTGGATATTCTTGCTTGGACGCACTGATATTGTCTCATTCGATTTTTTCATGGCTTTATGTTAACAGTTTTAGCTGGTTCTAGTAAATTACTGTTTGGTTTTTACTTGATAGTCTTTTATAATGACTTTTATGAGGGAAGTCTGGGCCTTGTAGAGTAAAGGTGCGTTGCTTTTATTGCAGTCATTGTACTGTAATTATATTCATTAGTATTTCACCATTATTTCATAGATGTTTGTCATTGTTTACTATTCATTAATGACATTTCATGAGTCATGTTACCCTATAAAAGCCCTATTATGCTACATATATCATGTACAGTTCTGCTTTAAAGATTTTACTATCACCAGTGTAGGCTATTCAAGGTAAAGGAATCTTTCTCCTATACTCATGAAGCTGATTGAGGTGACTTCATTTTATGGATGATTAGCTGATGATTGTGCAAGGAGCTATAAGAGCACATGTGATGATCAGGTGATCAGGTGAGTACAAATATGACCTGGTGAGTGGTGACTTGTATTTGTATCATGTAGTGTGATGCTTATCAACTGATCTAGCTCTCTCTCTCTCTCTCTTTTTTCTGGAGCTAACAGTCATGAAAATATATGGTAGATGAAAATATATTGGAATGGTCTCCCTTCCTCTGTCTTTGCCCCTTCCATGTACATGATGCTCTTTAATGACTGTGCAAGATGCAATTGTGAGTTTTGTGTAACATTAGATTTATACATACATGTACATTGTATATATACTTGAAATTTGTTGGGAGATATGGCACACTACATTGTACACACTGTATAATGAAATTTTCATTGCACAGTACAAGTTTTACAGTATATTGCATAGTTACTGCATGAATTATGCAACATGTACTATTATTATTTATGTGTATGTACAATCTTACAAATTGCATAGTGTACAATCACATGATGACAATGTGTCATCATAATTTATTGCCATGTCAGCAGGTGTAGTAAACATTATCACTCATATGCTGTGTCATTGTATTAATACAATAATGTGTCTTATGGTCCATACGTGCTATATTTTGTATTGGTAAAGTTCAATAGCAAAGTACTGACTCAGAGTTACATGTATTCCCTCAAACTAGACTTGAGTAATCAATTGTTCATCTAGTAATGTCCAGTGCCATTGTCTTAGTGTCTCCTTTTCCTATAGAGTGTGAATAAGAAACATGTACATGTATTGATAATTAACTAATAATGAGTGAGAAAGATGTGCAATCAATGTATACTGTATGCATTCAAATTTTCGAGTGTTAAAATTTTGTGTTTTCAATGAAATGTGCTCAAAAGTTAATATTCGTGTGAGCTAATTTTTGTGTTCTGGCCATAGTCTACATACAATAGAATGGCATTATAGATGTGGTTTAAATTTTGTGGATTTAAGGTGAGCACAAAAATAACGAAATTTAATGCACCTTGAAAATTAAGACTCGTACAGTAGTATACACTTTATTGTAACACACAACATACTCTCTTACATGTATGCACAGTACTCACTTTATGCAATCCTTTGTTGCCGGTAATCCTCTCTTGTTTTAAGTGTCAGTCAATGCTTAGAATTCAGCACATGAGCTTGTGATGCATGTAATGTTAAAGATACAGTGAGGATTGAAGACCAGGAGTAGAAAGAGTACATTGTAGAGTCCACCAAATGAGTTTTATATCAGCCAACAGCTACTTTATTTGATACTATAGCCATCATAGTAGACCCTTTTATCTTGTAAGGAATATACTGTCTTAGCTTCTTTATTGCTATACTCTGTGATAGCTCCACAGACAACCTGGGGCTGGTTATGATAATAAAAGCCTTTCAGTAGACAACCAGTAACTGCCTTTGTTGATACATCAAATTGTTTTGTTTCTTCCCCTGAAGGTTTAAGATAACTAAGTTCATTCTTAGGGTCAGCTACAACAGCAGCAGGTGTTCCTTGAGGCAATACTTGTGATTGTACATGTACATGTACCTGCCCGTTAAATTGTTGTGGTTCTGCTAGCTTTGCCTCCTGGGCTTGACAGTGTTCTGGGATTCCTGGGGTAACTATGACGTGTCTTCTGTTGGGTCTTCCTCCTTCCTTTGAGTTGGGAGAAGACACAGTAAAGGTTTCATGAAGCTCAGTAACTAAGTTTTTGTGAGACATCTTGATGCTGATTCGGGTGTTATAATTATGCCACGCCCTTAAATTTTATTTTATTTTTCTGGTTTAGTAAAAATAAAAAACATATAGCAGCAGTATTACAATAAGTGCCTATGCATGTACAGTACATTATTAACTAAGAAAAAATATTAGTCTTAACTCCTAATTATTAATTCAGCTGTTCACTATACACATATTACACAAACTACACTACTTATAATCTACTACAGCAAGTCACACTTTTATTCATTATCTGAAGAAAGCTCAGATGAATCTTCTTCATGCTTAGAAAACGTTTCAGGAGGCACGACAAGTTCACTGTGATCATTATAAATTTGTTGCAGTGTTTCCCAATGAATGGATGGTAGAACCAAAGCAGCCATTCCTCCTTCCTGTTGGTAGACATTTGACTCAGTAGTAATCGGTTTATCCGATGGTGGGTCGCTATAATGAGACGGAGGCGGATCAGATATTGAAGTCTTAGGAGGTTTTGACGGAGTTACATGAAGGATTGGCATGACTAATTCATCACTGGTACCATGAGGAGGAATAGTGTGAATATTATTTACAACCCACTCCTGGCTAGTCTCAAAATATGCTTGTAAGTCTTGTAAAGATAAAGGAAACATATTGTCATCTTCAGTGCTCAAGATGCTTGCATTGATGTGCTCCGTCTCTTCTTTTTCATATCCTGAAAAATTCTTTAAGTTTTTGGTACGACTCTTTTTATCAAATCCTGATGTTCCTTTACTCTTTCGGGAATCATCAGTTACGTAATTTGGAGCTTGTTGTATAGGAGAAGGCCATTCTGTTTCAGGAAGAGGTAAGTCTTCTTCTTCACTGTCAATGCTAGTGCCTGTACTGCCGTCATCTTCAACCTGGAGCTCAGGTTTGCTGGAGTTAAACATAGAACGCACATAGGATGAGAGGAAAACAAAGACAGAATAAAGGAAGAGGTTTAGAGAGAAGGGCTTTTCTAAGTTCTGGTTTCCCTCAATTGAAATAGTAAGGTCTTCAGTATCTATAATAAAACAATACTAAGAACAAAAAGCAAAATGTGTACTATGTAGACTTGATTCAATGCACACATACATTGTACGTACATGATATGTACATGTACATGTTACACATGAAAATCCTTTAGTGTTCTGTACATGTACATTATGTGCGTCTAACTATGATACAAATTTTTTAAATTTATTGTCAATGTTTGCTGTTTTTATACAGAAGGCTAATGCTGTATGCATTGTGATTTGGTTATTTACTTAATGTTTTTGTTGAAATCTTACCTGTAGGTGTAAAAGTATATGTACATGTACATGTACTTTCAAGGTCCTGGCCTTCTAAACCATTTTGTTCATTACCATTTTGTTCGTTATCATTTTGGTCATCACAGGAGTAATAGTTGACACTAGATGTACAAGTACATGTAAATTTGCATAAATACAATTAAATATACCTGTTTGCATATACATGTTCGTGACCAGGGTTCTCAATTTGAACAGCCTCCTCTGCTGCTAATATCTTTTTCATTGTTTCCTTCAATATATCCTGTCAAGATAGAGTAATTAGTACATAATGAGAGATTTGGCTGTATTGAGAGAAAGAGAGTGCTTATGTGCATGTACTGTGAACCTGGATATAGTACTAAAGGGTGCCTTTTATTTCATGTGACTGGTGGCAGTATAGGAGGGTTGACTGGGTTGTGGGGCAGTGCAACACATGACTGGGACTGAGTTCATTTTAAATGTTATCAGTTAAGGCAACATGATCTCATACAGGGATTATAGGGCTTTGTACGAAAAATAAAAGTTATGTTTTACAAATTCATTATTTTTAATAATAGCAGTTAGTTATTATCACAAGTCAAGTGACCTTTTACATCAGGTCTCTAAGCTGTGGGTGTGTTTCTGGGTGTGAGAAAAGGAATTTGTGGAAGATGTTGTATACAAATTGTTCAAAGTGTGTTTATGTCTATATGAGGGGATGGTAATGTGTGTGTGAATGGAATGAGGCAGAGTGATAGTGTGTTTGTTTGGTCTACCAAGCAAACACACACCTGCCTAGCTTAATTCAAATGCACACACATACACTTTATGCACGTACTGTACATGGAGGGGGATATAGAGATGTATGTGTTAGACTCACCAGAAATAAGAACACGGCTGATATAAATTTAAAGGCAATTAAAGTCTCCATTATGATTACTCACTCGTTGTGCAGAGCAGAATGACGTGTCATATAATTGGTATCATATAATTGATGCGTGATGCAATAAAGTCAAAGGGCGTGGTCATTCTCATGAAGTTTATAGGCCCCTCCTTTGTAACATGCATATGCCATCAATCCTCCTTTGTATCCTGTATTATGGTTCTTCCTATACAGGATCCTCCTTGTAGGAGGAGATTTAAACCAGATATTATTTCAGCAAACAAAACTATCTGTTTTTTCAGCTGCTACATAATACAAGTTCTTAGATACGCTAAGAAAATGTTGTCGATGTGGTTCATTTTATCACACTTCAGTGCATTATATAATTTGCACAGCTCTATTATGTGCCAGATCATCCAATCATTATCCTTTCTGCTCTTTCTGCTCTCATGTACTATACATTACTATACGTTTGGTGATAATTAATGAACTAAGCATAAGATAGTCCATTAGTGCTAAAATTTGAATTTCAGTAATATTCTTTTGGAAGCCTTGGATAAAGGTACCATATAACCAAAAGGTTTTATGGTCAAAAACTTTTGTGTTGGGATGACATCACAAAATTAAGAACCAAGAAATTTTTACAAGTTAGTAAGAGGCGTGGGTGCTTCACTGATGATCCATGAAAATAAAAACCACGAATAGACTGGGAGCCACCAAACCACGAAAGTTTTTTGCCACAAACTTTCTGGCTATATGGTATTATTTGTAAAGGTATTACTTAGCATAGTATTAATTAGACACAGCACTTAATTTAAACCCAAATTGTAGTATAAATAATCTATGTGGTACATTTCATTTAAGCATTTAATATTTATAATTAATCATTAATGTAACTAAATTTATTCCTTGTTATATTTGCCATACATGTAATTCAATAATTTGTGCTACAACTTTTAGTCACAAAAATTGACATATTTTCTGACTTAATTACAAATGTATGTGTATGCATGTAGTTTATAATTTATGTGGGACATTTATTAATATTTTGTAATTTATCAAAAATTTTATATAATCCTGAGGTTTTTGTCCTTAATTGAACTTGACTATAAAGTGTAATAAGATGTTGTCTTAGTGCAAATCTGCTGTTGTTGCATGAATTATGATAGCCTTAGGATAAAGATTGTGGGGTGGATCATGGGAGGAAGAAATGCTTAGATTAAAAGGAAAAGGTGTGAACATTAAAATACAATTTTAATCAGGTTTAGAAAGATGCCAAGCAATTTTTGGTGGTAAGATAAATGCACCCTTAAACTGGATTTATTTTCATTTATTTATTCGTTGAGATTTTATTTTATTAAATTTAGTTGCATGCCCCAAAAGTGATATTATTTGCTACCTTTTTGGCCAAAATCCTTAAAACCCTACTATTAATAGAATACTTTGTTTTCAATTACTACTGTATTCCATGTCTGATGTGTAGTATTAGTTATATAAAGCATGACTGCATATATAAATGCCATAAATGTGGAACGTATTTCGGTGATTTTAATTCAACAGTATATGAAAAAAGTAAAATTTAAACTAATTAGTTTGTAAATAATAATGATGAACCTTAAAAATTAATTGTAAAATTAAATGCAGTAAAATACCGTATAGCTAGAAAATTTGGTAGAGTAAAATTTTGACAAATTTGGCAAATTGAAGTCTATTTGCCCAATTTTTGTTCTCCAATTTGATAGGACCTGTTCCATAGAAGCATGCACAGAATTAAAATTTTACCAAAATTTTAACCTCCAAACCTCTTTTAATGTCAATTCGCCAAATTTTAGCACTCCAAATTTTGGTATTCCACTTCTCCTAAAAGTATTATTACATACAGATAGTAGTCCTATCCTATGTACTGTAGTCACCTACATGTATTATATTATTTTATATCATTCACAGGTGTCCTTGTCTCTTTGTTGTCTTTGATGATCAGTTATTTGAGAAGCTTTCATTAAATTTTTTAAGCAGATTTCGTAAGATTCGTAGCTCCAGGACCATTTACGAGTTTCCTGATGAGACTGGAGGCAATAATGGTAGAGATGAAGTCAATTTTATCGTAAGTACCATAGTTAGTCTAATTGTAATAAGCTAAAATTAATATTAAGTCTACAAACGTTGTACATTTAATGATATTCATTGCTGTTTAGTATGCTCATGTACATGGTTATGACTTGTATGTTTGTGTTGCATATTTTTCTTGTTAATGATTAATGTGTGTGTTCTCATTGTAGTACACCATCACTCTTACTTATTCTATTCTGTAGGCCTATGCTATTACAATTGCTGATATGGAGCCTAATGAACGCAGTCCATTGCATTCTTCTGCTACTAGTAATACATGATTAACAATCATCTCTTCACTGCTAATGATCATTCATGAACTGCATCACAGGTTGCTATAATCATCTTTAAATTATTTTTCTGAACAATGGTACATTATAACTTTTTTTACTGATTTTTGTTATTAATTATTACTGAAAATTGATTTCAAATCAAATATTTTATACATTTTTGACTATGTGTCATCATCACCTTTTCAGGTGAGACCTGGCTTTAGACCTAAAAGTCATACACTGGTAAAGTACAAATCAGTCCGTACATGTATATGTGGTTTTGTTTAAGATAATAGTACTATTCTACTATTTATGTCCCAAAAAAAATTTTGTTTCAGAGCTACAAGAATTCTAATGAGTTGAGTCTTCAACCCAATCAGCATACATGTATACCTTAAAGGCTGTTGCTATTAAATTGAAAGCAACATGTTGCCTAGTGTATGATGGTTTTAATTGTAGGACCATTACTAAAGCATACACTCATTTGCTAATAATAACTGTACTAATGAGAGTCAACCATTACTTATGTTATCTTTCGTAAAGGGCTTCAATAAATAACTCCTTTTAAGCTGTTTTATATTTTGGTATCTGGTATGTATAAATTTCCTGCTATATTGTATTTTGTTCTAACTTTAAACTATTCGCAAATAACTCTGTTTGATGTTAATGATATGAATGGTGCTATGGAGACCACTACTTCAACAAAATACCGCAAGTGGCTTGAGTCTAATTAACCACTTGTCTTAACTATCTCTCCATGAATATGTTTAAAACAGATTAATTCTTCTCCAATGAGGTGCTTTTATCCATTATGTATCATGTATTTGTATGCTCTATTACAAAATCCATTACATTAGTAGTATTTTCATAGAAAATATTGACTACAATATGCACACTCCACTGCACCATGATAGAATGATACTGGATCCAAATCTATTACCATATCATTAGATGTTATGAGTTGAATTGTAATGATTGTACACACTGATGCACTGTGTATAATTATGTTTTAATTATTTACATGCTTATCTTTCTAAAATCTAATTGTTTTTATTTGTTTTTAATTGATTTAGTTTTCTTATATAAGACTCTTTTTAAGCATTATCAGTGGATGACCCTTTTTGATGGTAAACAGTAGTATTCTGCTCAGGTTGTTGACAAGATGATAGTGTCAGTACTGTATACTGTATTCTGGCTGAGTGTCAGTGAAGTTATTAGTCAATGTACACCTTCCTCAGGTCAGACACTAGATGTGTATAATAACAACTGTATAGGTTTTTATAGGTATCTACCTGATGCATGATGGAAACTGTTATACTAATAGATCATATTTTTTTGATCTTGACATTAAAGGAGCCAGTAACAGTATCCAGTGTGTGTTAGCTGGTACTACTACTCTGAATGGTGGAAAGTGGGTTACTAATAATGGATCACCAGTTGACTGTAGCACTGATCCTCTTCGTTGTAATGAAGTATCTTCACATAATGCTGCTGTCAGTCTTTACATAACTACTGGACAGAACATACAACCAACTGATGATGGCTGGTACAAGTGTTGTCTACCCACTAGTTGTTCAGATCCTAACAGTGACATCATCTTTGCTAATATATTCAGTGAGCCTTTTATTTTAATAGTCACTATGTTTATTCACTGTATATAGGATGGGTACAAATTAAAAATATTAGTGTTGATCTCCCTTCAAATATAACAGTTCTTCCTCAAACATACACACTACATGCTATTAGAATTGGTTATAGAATGCCTTATATTAAGTCAGCTAATTGGTACTATGAATCTGGTGGTACTAGTATTGAACTCTGCAGTGTCAAGAACAACGGGCATTATCGTTGTTCTTTTGGCGATGGAAAAGCAACAGACAAAAATAATGGAAAATGGGATTATGAGGTTACATTAAGTGTTCCTCGGAAAGGAGACACTACTAATGAAGAACTAAGTCCATGGAATAGCAATGGTGATCTTGAGTACAAGTTCTTTTTACATGTCGGTGATGTAATGAGAAATCAGTCAATTACAATCACTAGTAAGCTATTATTACTATACCATAATTATTGTAAAATGACACTTTTATTGCATAGTTCCAGTCACTGCTCCCACTTTTCTTACTGAGATCAGAAAGACAGCTACCACTATCACTGTCAGTTGGACTGCATTTAATTCATCTGATGCTGATGGATATGTAGTCAATGTCACTAGTGACACAGACACTGTGCAGGCAGTACAGGTGGAGGGAAGTAGTAATAATACAATCACACTGAATGGACTGAGAGGAGAAACAACTTACAGCATCACAGTCAGAGCCTATCAACAATTACTGGGACCTGCTAGTAAAACAATCAGTGTACATACCTTACCAGGTATTGATACTGCACCTTTTAATGTGCTTGTAACTTTGTTGATGTATTTCTAGTTATTAATTCAATCAATTGGACACTAGTCTCATCCATTACACAACTCAATAACACTCAATATTGTATTGATTGTCTCACCACTGCTGATATAAATCCTTCAACTGATGTTTACTGGTTAGTGAATGGAGTGATGAAGAGTAACTCAATGTATACATTGATTGATGTTCTAATGTACGACAACACACTACTGGTATATCCTGATCCACTGGGAATGTCAGTTAATGTTACCTGTACAGCAATGATTGGAGAAGTCAACTACAGTCAATCTGTGATATTATACGGTATTGTATTTTTAATCAATGGTAGATACCTTTGTCTCTTTTCTAGCTTCTAGTAGTCCTCCAAATAATGTGAGAGGGTTTATATTAAATGCTACTAGTATTAAAGTAAACTGGACCACTACATCAGAGACTAATGGATATGTGATTGAATATGCTACTGGAGGTGCAACCAGGAATGTAGTATCTACTAGAGAATATGAAATTGTACTAACAGATCTCTCACCAATGAGTACCTATATCATCAGTGTGTACTCATATATAGATCTTCCTTCAATTAATAGTCCAGTAGCAGTGTTAAGATTAGATGGTGAGTTATTATGAGAGATCGAGTGCTATTGATATCTGTTCTAGTTCCTAGTCCAGTAACTAGTCTCTCAGTATCTAATGTCTCAACCACTGGTATTACACTGAACTGGACTATTCCCAGTAGTGACAACTATGTAACATACTACACCATCTCCTATACTCCATCTTGTCCCCAGTTATCATCAGTGAACGAGATGGTCTCTGTTGCTCCTCATCAGTCCATTACAACATACAGTTATACATTAATAGGTCTGTACAGTGGTATGAACTATACCATCACAGTGAGAGCTGGTAATGTACTAGGAGGATCTGATCCTAGTTCAGTTGAAAAAGATACAATGCCAACAGGTTTGTACATTCTTGAAAGTTAATTATTATGTATTCTAGCCCCTACTGGTGTACCTAATTCTTTGTTTTTGCTACAACCATTTAATAATCTCACTTGGAATGAGGTCAATTGTTTTGAACAGAATGGTCTAATCACAGGCTATACAGTGATGATCAGTAACAGTAGTATCACATACAACCTCACCAGTACTGAGAGATATATCATATTGAATGATCTAGTATTTGGTACTGAGTATAACATCAGTGTAGCTGCTGTCAATTCTGTTGGAAGAGGTCCCTTCAGTGGTACTCTTGTAGTGGAAATTAAAGCAAGTATGTAATTAAATATAAGATTTATGTGAGAGGTTTATTTAGTACCTGGTCCAGTTGGTTCAGTATCCAGTATGATGGACACTACATGGGCTGTTATCTCATGGAGTGTACCTAGTTATATTCCATCAGACTATCCCATTATCACATATGAGATAGGATATCATATGTTACAGTCTGGTAACTGTTCAATGGTAGATGATGATGGTATTAATATTCAAGTGTTCAACCAATATAGTAACTTCAGTAATAGTACACTTACTACCATCACTGGTCTGTATAGTGAAACCTGCTATATTTTTAGTGTACGTGCATACACTGATAATGGATATGGATCATGGACATTTATTACTAATGAGACGCTAACCCTGCCAATAAAACCATCACTTACATTATCATCAACCTCATTGCAAACAAGTATAAATTTATAATTATGGTTACCTTTTTATTTTTGTTTTATAAAACAGTGACTACTACTATAATACCAGAAAGTAGGTTTTACATTATAAAGATATTTATATTACTAAAAATTACTACAGATACTTCAACTATTGTGACAGTTGGAGGCTCAGGAGTTGCTGTGTTTTTAATTGCCCTATTGTTGGTGATGATTGTTATCATCATCATTTTCATAAAGTACATTTCAGTGCTGTTATTCTAATGATGATTGTTAAAAATTGTTCTTTCAGAAGAAAGAAATCATTGAAAATTAGAAACTATCATGTCAGCATGGCTATGTCAGAAATACAAGGTGATAAAATTATCCATATACTGATATTATTCCATGCATTATAGATATTGTAACAGAAAATGATGAAAGTGATAGTTGTCAAATGGATAGACAAGGACCAAGTAGAGAGTATTTTTATTGATTATAACAATTATAGTTTTAGATTTATATGCAGCAATACAAGAAGTACCAATTCCATCAGTTTATGAACCAACATACACTGATGTAGAGACTGCTGTTCTCTCTGTCTCTAATTTTGATCCACAGATTCCTCTTTCTCTACCTATATCACTGGAGGATCTGAATATACATGTAACCAGTTGTCATAGCAATGGATTTGAAAGCCAATACACAGTAAATAATACATGCATGTACATATACATACTGATGATTATAATAGAGCCTCAAGAGTGAAGAAGAAAAGCCATGTATTGTTGGATACAGTGAGGAGAATAAGCCTTTCAACAGATTCAAAGACATCACAGTTTGTATGCAAACGTATAGTTAAAAGTAATGTGATTATTCTATTTATTAGATGATGATAACAGGATAATACTGGCTACTAATCCCAACTTGGATATGTGTCAAAGAGAATATATCAATGCTAACTATGTTGATGTAAGTTTAATATTTTTACTTAATTATCTTTATCTGTGTGATTGCTGTAGGGATACAGTAGCAGTAAGAAGTTTATAGCATCACAAGGTATATGAGAATCATTAGAATGTGATGTACATGTATACTATTCATAGGACCTATGAAGAAGACATTAGTTGATTTCTGGCGTCTTATCTGGCAGGAGAAGCCAGTGTCTATTGTAATGGTAACCAACCTGAAGGAAGGAACTAAGAACAAGTGTGAGCTGTACTGGCCTAACACTTTAATGGAGCATGAGGAATTTGGACCTTTCACTGTCTTGCTACAAAGTACACAAACTTTTCCTGACTTTATCATTCGCCAACTTTGTGTCACAGTAAGTAAAATAATTGATATCTTATTCAATTTATGCAACAATACAGATACAAGATGTATTTAATGATAGTCATACACTGACTCAGTATCATTTAACCTCATGGCCTGATCATGGAGTACCTGATCATGCTACACCATTGATGTCTCTTCACAAACAAGTTATGGCTACTTGGTCTCCCTCTAAAGGTCCCATTCTGGTCCACTGTAGTGCTGGTGTAGGTCGCACTGGTACATTTATTGCTTTAGATATAGCTCTGGAACAAGCTAAAAGAGAGCGAGTAGTAGATATTGCTGGTATTGTTAATAGACTTAGACAACAGAGAATGAAAATGGTTCAAACACTTGTAAGAATAAAGTGTATATCTAATACATTATTGTAACATTTTCTAGGATCAATATGTATTTCTTCATGATGCTGT